CGTTTAGGTGAAGTCGACTCAAATATAAATCATAATGCTAAAAACACCTCCACACAAATCAAGATAAAAGGAAACTATAGTCGTAAGGAAACATACATATAAGAGTAATTATCTCTACATTTCCTCTCCCGGCCCCGACTAACAATCGATGATTCTATCATTTTGGTTGAAAATGATTGCAAGATATTTTCACCTTAAATAACCATTTAAGAGTAGCTAATCTCATTAATATGAGGAGACCTTAGCTCTCGTTCAGCCACTTTATAAACTAGCCTCTCCATATATGAACTAGTCTCTTCTCTCAAATAAGCCCCATTTGAGATAATTCTAGAATCACCCTCACTCTATTCATATCTACCATTTCGACCAAAGAAAGAAGTAGACAAAAAATTTAAGAATTATTTATCAAAAACATAGTTGATCATTGAAAAATTTAAATCACAAGAGGAAAATGTTCTATTCTTGAAAAAATTATTGATCCAACAATAATTATCACTTTAAAAGGTTCAAAAGAACCCCCACATGAATGTTCTATAAAAAAGATGCATAGAATCTCTAAAAAATGCTTATATATTTTCCAAAAACCTCTTATATTAGGAAAACAAAAAAGAAAAGAAAGTGAGAACAAGAAAAAATGAAGGAAAAAAAAAAGAACTCACCAGGTATATATAGGTTTAGAAGCACGAGTTTTTAAACCATTCAAAATAAGAGCTTAGTTGGCAAGCCTAATCTAACATGGTCCAGCTATAATCTATAATCGGTTTCACGTGGCGGATAATGTAGGCACAATTTAATCGATTTTACTTCAAAGGAACTAGCCTTTTCATCTTCTTTAAACTCTCCCACGCACAAGTGCTTTGTCTTCCTAAAAAAAAAAAAAAAATAGTTATCTAAACGATGGGTAATAAATAGCCTACATCTAACCCAACTAAAACAAACAAAAATAAGACAAGTTATATGAGCCCCTACTCATTCGAGCACTACTAACACTTCTCCAAAAAATCTAACCACCAAAATAGTATTCATAAAATAAGTTTGTTAAGACTTGAGAGGACTACCGATATACCCGGATAATACATGTCATCATATTACCTGTTGAACTCTAACTCCGAATCACCTTCCGAACATAACCAATGGGCCAAAGTAGTAGTTTAAAGTCATCACAACAAGATGCACCACTTGATTTTTATCTAAATGATCGGATGTTGTCTCACCAACCAAAAGAATACGTAGTACATTCATTAATGAAGACATGCTTCCCAAACTATCTTTATCTAATTGACACCAACCATGATCTTGTAAAGATCATCTAATAGTAATATATTATCGAGAAGAACTTTTGTCTCTAAGTTGGTGTTAGAAGCTATTAGCAATAAAGGAATGGACTAACCTACTTCCTTCTCCATGCAATTTGATCAAATCTTTGGATACATAGAGGTTTAAAAGGCCGAAGTTAAGGGTTCATGTCTCTTAATTTTATTACTACCATTCATCATTTTTCATACATCCACACAACTACTTCATAATCTAATTAAACTTACTTTTTTCTTCGTACACTAATTTAGTCATCGGAGGATCCTCCAATCCATTAGGAGAACATGTTTTGTAAGTACTCATCATTTATCATGGATTGCCACCATTCCTTTAACCATAAGAAAGACCACCTCACCACCATATATTATTTTGAGATCTATAACCTCATCAATTCCTATGCCAAACGCCTGCTATTTTGATTTTTTTCCTTCAATAATTGGGTTACATGTAGCTATAACTTGCGGAATAAGATAATTTAATAATTTTGTATCTCATTTCATCTGTCTAGAAAATTCAAAGTAAATTTCACAAATATCGTGTGGATTCACTATCCAAAACCTAAAGCTTTTTTTTATCACTACAATTCTAGTTGTACTAGTCTCATATATATACATATAACTGAGTATGTTACTTGGATATAATATCCTCTCTTGCATTAAAAATATAGAATCATACAATGAAATTTGATAGTCTGTTTTTCTAATTAATAAATGAATTAGTGGAATGAGTCCAAGTCTATTTTTAATAATTTTCTTATATGACAAAAACATGTATGATCCTTGGCACGAAAATGATAGTTATTATATTGATTAGTCATATTTATATTTTCATTTGAATCAATTACGAGAATCTTTCCCTCTCACACGCATACGGCATACCCCAAATGGGATGGTACAATCCACTGGCAAAGCAGTAGAATTTGCTAGAAACCACTTTGAATGACAATTAAGGTTTCTTTTTTGGAATGCTTATTATATATATGTATACACATACGTACACATCAGCGAATTGAAAGCTTAAGTGGCAAGGTTGGATAAACTTGGCTGGCAAGAATCTAGTAGTGAAATTGACTATGGAACTCTTAAAAGGTTGCCTTCACATTGGTCAATTCAGAGCTGGCAATGATTTTGTCTGTAAAAGGCCAACCAGAATTTGACCCCTTCCATAGGTTCCAATTTATCTATAAATGAGTATGTTAGTCGGTTGAGGCCAATTTCGCACCATCTCGACTTTCCTTAATAGATTTAGAAAAAGAATAATTCACCGAAATCCGAGGACGAAAAATAAAGGTCCATATATATATATATATATAGTGAATGGTCGATTGGATTCATATGCCGGAACGGCAAGGAAATTTTGGCTTTAGGAAAACAATGCCATTTTTGTTACTTGGATAAATTCTGTAGTGGATAAGATTGCAAAATTCGATACGTCCAATCTTTTCTTCCCAAATAAAGCATTATTTTCTCCTCATTAACTTATGTTATCTTTCTTTTCTTTTAATTATTGAAAAAACTCTAATTATACCAATTGGAACAAATATACCAAGTGCAATTTCTTACCCTTGTAAACAAGTTTTGCTCATTATTTGGTATTTGCATTTTTAAATGATTTTGATTAAAATATCATATATATTTTTTTCATATTGATTGAGTTTTTTATATTTTTTTTAATGTTGTTATGATGTCATTAGTTTATATCACTATATGTATGTTACCATCAAAACTTTATTTTAGATACAAAACATGTGTCATATGTGAGAATCAAATAGAGATATTGAATTAACATGAAAAAAATATAAGAATTTAATCAAAATAATTAAAAGAGTACACATATAAAATAAGAGAAAAATTCATTTTGTTTTTATTTTAATTGCATGTTAGGTTTTTTTTTCCTTTTTTAAGTATTATTTTTAACTTATTATAACAATTTTTTTTTAAAAAAAACAATCATCCTAAATGCACGATATGATTCATATGTAGGATCCATCACAATAGAATTAATTACAAAAAAGTTTAATAAAAATAATTATTATAATAAGTTAAAAATTATAAAATAATATGTTTTAAAAAAACCGACCAAACATGCAATTTAAACAAGAGAAAATTAACTCAAATATCTTATAATTGATGGCAGTAACTCTTAGTATCCTCATTTTCTATAAATTACACTTAACACTCTCATCAAACCTCGTTTGTCATTTTGTTAGGCAAAGAATTAAAAGATAAACCTACCCTTATATAAATACAGATAACCCTCATTTTCACTATCTCTCTTTTCTATTTGAAAAGAAAAACCTATATAAAAAAAAAAAATCTTAAATCGCAACCAAAATCATCAATCAAATGCAATAAGAAGGTTGATTACAACTTATAACTCAAATCAACGGTAAAAAAGAAAGCAAAATTTGGGTAAGAAAAACTCTAGCTTAATTTGCATTGAATTTTTTTTCCTATGAATTTGGAAGTCCAAATCACTCACAATTTTTTTTATGTTTAATCTTTCATGTTTCAAATCCTAAACAAAACCCCTAAAAATTCCTTTATGATTTTGTAGTAGTTTTTCAAATACTAATTAGAAAAGCTAATTTCCAATCCTTCAAATTTAACTTGTTAATTGACGAGATAATGATCTTCAAATTATGATTGTTGATGAGGTGACTTTCAACTCAGGCTAATCATATGGTGGTTATAACTTAATGTATGTTCATTTAGTGATGAGTACTTACAAAATAAGTCATTTTTTGATAGTTGGAGGACCTTTCGATGGTTAAGTTAGCTTATGGAGAGATTTGTGTATTTTGATAAAAAAATGAAACATGCAAGTCGTGATTTAATTATTTATTTTTTTGCATTTTAATAAAAGGTATTTCGATAAAAAAAAATGTCTATAGTCGAAAAATTTGATAAGAAAAAAAGATTGAATATTTCAAAAAAATTTATAGACATGAGATGCAATTAAAAATCTAGAGACAAATGAAAATTTTTAAATATTATATAAGGACAAACACGTATATTTACTTTTATTTTTTTAATCATTATTCTTATTCATTTTAAAAATCATATATTAAATTTCATTTAGATTTATTATTATTATTATTTCAAACACATCATGAGAATACAAAGACTTTTCTTATTCTTTAATTTTCATTCTGATTACTATTTTTTTTAACTACTTATTTTTTATAATTAAACAGCATTTAAATGATACGTTGAAGCATACAACAGTTAAGAAATTTAGTCTTCCGCACAACATGAAATTTTGATTTCCGTTACTTTTCACCTTGCGAAAATTTTCGACTTGGAATCCCATTTCAAAGGTAACCAAAAGAGGTCCCATGCATACAAAAGGTCGATTCCAATTGTATGATATGAACTCCTTGCATTGGCAAGGAAATGTGCCTTCTGTTTAGACAGGTGCTGTAAATGTTTGTTTCTCATTAGACGGACATCAATGGAGACGGTCTCGGCTCGGCATGAGACAGACAAACAGGGAGTAATAATTTGGGTTGCAATTAGCAACACTTGTTATTAAAGCAGCTAGTCAATAGTATATCGAGAAGCGAATTTCACCAGCTGCAATAATGAGCATATTAATATAAATAACTAATTTACAGAGAAAAAGCAGATTGCGTCGACTTTCATGTCTGTGAAGCAATCTTGGGCAGAGGAAAGTGGGGATGAGGATTAAGCAGTAGCTGCAGCCTGTTCTTCAACAACCCGTGATGCTGGGAGAAGGGTGCAGATAAGGTTCCGGTCACCATAGACATTGTCAACACGACCTGATAAAACAGCACCATAGAAGAACCAACCAGTCAATTAGAAAGGTGTTGTGGAAGATGGACTTGAATATATTCACTTTGGAATGTATGCCGGATTCAGATTCTGATATTCTTAAATTTGAAGCAAGTAAATGGCAAGGAGGACATGCAAACCTGTAGTAGGCCAGAACTTGGCGACACGGAGCCAAGAAGCAGGGAAGGCTGCATATTCCCTAGAATATGGCTTTGTCCATGTATCTCCCATGAGCAAAGATGGTGGGTGAGGAGCTCCCTGCATTTCGATTTTCCATAATCACTCCAAAGCTCGTGAATAAGAATGGATTCGAAAATGAATCCATAAAATGTAGGTAGAAAAACTCAAACTGATAATGCCTTCTGTACAAAATAAAAAATAAGCAATTTCACCTTGAGGACATTGTTGTGGATATCAGCATTTCCTTTCTCGATCTCTGCAATTTCTTCCCTAATCGAGATAAGCGCATCACAGAACCTATCTAACTCTGCCTGCAGAAGATGTCAAATATGGTTGAAACTCCATATGTGAAAAAAGGGAGAAGAGCAAGGGATTGGGATATGAAAAAAGGAGAGGAATCTTCTGCAAATCTTACCTTGCTTTCACTCTCAGTGGGTTCAATCATAAGCGTTCCGGGAACTGGCCACGACATTGTAGGCCCATGAAATCCATAATCCATAAGGCGCTTGGCAACATCTTCAGGCTCAATCCCAGCAGTGTTCTGCAACAAGATCGTTTTAGATTAGTCGCTTCAGATTAAAAGGGGAATAACTAAAAAACAGACATGTAATAACAACTACCTTAAAGACTCTCAAGTCCACAATGAATTCATGGGCAACTGTTCCATTGACACCACGGAAAAGAACAGGGTAGTGATTCTGACAAACAAACCAATAACAAAGGCAAATCAGAGAACAGACAAAATATTTATAAATTAATTTCAAGAGCAAGTTTACAACTCCCAAGTCTTATCAGAAAGAATAAAGCTACCATGTATGCTAAACACATCATTAAGTAGTAGTAGAAACTAAAGGCAGGTGTATTTACTGATTTACAAATGATGCTTCTTTATGATAAGATCATGAAAGAACAGCATCTTTTCATGAATATTTGAAGGCCTTCCCAGTTCACCGCATTTATTGATTATTGATTACAGCAAGAAAGCGAGTAGAAAAATTATGTACCTCCAAACGCTTTGCCATGTAGTTTGCGTTCAGTATAGCTATCTTTGAAGCATCAGTTAACCCCTTAGAACCCATCATTGCTATGTAAGTGTATGATATTGGCAAGATAAGTGCAGAGCCCCAAGGGGCAGCTGCAATGGTGCCAAGTGGTTGAGACTGGCTAGGGGCTGGAATACCACCTGTAGGTACCTTCAGTACAAGGACAGAGAAATTAAAAACTGAACAATGAAGACATGACGACGACGACATTTGGTAGTAGCAATTGCCATAATTCCATAAAACAGACAAGGGAAGTAACAACTAGTAAAATCATCACAAAAAATATGACTTCATAAAAGAAGAAATGATTTGGTCCAATTTCAAGCAGTATGTAGACCTATTACAAACTCGATGATGCCAGATGTAATAAAGAATGTAAACAGTTTCTTCATGCATATCTTAAGTCCAATAAAAGTTAAGGAAGCATTTCTCCCATCAGGGTCACATCATCCTTAAATAAAAGCTAAACAAGTCTGTGTAGCTATGGATGACGTTGTTCACGGAAAAAAAGTAGATACCACAGGATGTGAAGGAAGATATGGTGCCAAGTGCTTCTTCACACCAATAGGACCCATGCCAGGACCACCACCTCCATGTGGAATGCAAAATGTTTTGTGGAGATTGAGATGGCAAACATCAGCTCCAATAAAACCTGGGCTTGTGAGACCAACCTGTAGGGACGAAAAACATAAAATCGATAAGACAATATGTTCAATGACAAATTTATCATTTACATTGTTCTAATGCAGAGATGTCTGATAAATGTCATATTCAGATGACATGAGCTATTCAGTTAAACCCCACAAACTCTATATGGAAGACCATGAATCCTCAGTGATATAAAATACAGAAATCAAGTTAATGATAACAAAAAGTAAGGTCCCATATTTGGTTTACTATTTGCTCATAAATTTTAAATGCAGTCTGTAAAGCAAAACAACACAAAGCAGTTTCTAATTTGAATCACTGAAAAGACATCACGTTCTGGATGGCAGTCTGATTCATAACCCTGCCAAGTACAATTCTTCCCAGATTACATAGATTGAATTTGCAACAATGGGATGCTGGATACCTGCTCTACTCAGAGACCAGCCACCCATCAGGGCAGCAAAAGGTGCATTTATGGATTGAAGGATGTTGAAGCTTTTTATGTATTTTGCAGATAATGTTCTACGAAGTAACATCACCGTATCACACAGGAAAAGCTTATGGGAAGAAAGATGGAAAGGACCGATCTATGCAACAGTAAAACCAAATGGAGATAGTTTGAGAACACAGACCTGAGCATTCATGTTAGCCCCATCCATGTATACTTGACCACCATTGTCATGGATTATCTTACATATCTCATCGATTCCTTCTTCATACACCCCATGAGTCGAGGGATATGTAACCTGAAATTCAATAGAAAAACAGAGCCACATGAGAATTTTCCAACCTCTATCCCACTGAATTTTTGTCCAATACAAACTTAAATCCATTAAGAAAAAATAAAAAAATAATCACACCATAAGTGCAGAGAGGTTGTCCCTATTGGCTTCAGCAGCCTTCCTTAGCTCTTCAATATTGATGTTTCCCTTGGCATCAGTTCCAACAGCAACAATCTTCATTCCACACATGGCAGCACTTGCAGGATTTGTCCCATGTGCTGAAACAGGTATAATGCACACGTTTCGATGATGATCCCCTCTTGCCTATAGTATTCATTCAAATGAGAGACAGTCATAAGAAACAGCCATATGCAACCGTATGAGATTTGATGATTTACAACAAGGTTTGGGACTTGAGCACACGAGTAAAGTAAAGATATTAAAATCTTTAATGTTAAAGAGAAGCTACAGAGAATTTATCCTTTTGCCAGTTACAATTTGAGGCTAGGTACTTTCAAGAATTCTAATGGAAAAAAAAAAAGTCAGAACATATTACAACACCAATACTATGATGCGGGAATTCTTTTAATGGAGAGTCAGAGCAAATCAACAAGGTTTGACTTTGGGCATGGTTTCAGTTAGTCTCAACGGGTATCTGTCAATGCGGTTAAGTTTTCTCCTTGCAAAACAGAAAGTCTCAAGTAAAAAGGCATCAAGCATTTCTTGCACAGCGACTGCAGGAATAAGCAATCTTTTTATTAAATACTTGACGTCACAGTACCTTATGATATGCACGAATAACCATAAGCCCGGCGTATTCTCCAGCAGCACCGGCATTTGGTTGCAATGAGAAAGAGTCAAACCCAGTAATTGTACACAATAGATTGCCCAAATCATCGAACATTTCCTATGACAATACAAGAATTGAGCAAAGGTCAATTTGCTTGTTCATACACCAGATCTGTTCTCATACACCATAAACAAAAAAACAAAAAAAAAGGCATTATCTGTCAAGTTTCTGTTTAAGAAACATGAGCAACTATCTACCTGGTAACCTTGAGCCTGTTCAGTTGGAGCGAAAGGGTGAACATCGGTGAAATTAGGAAATGTGACTGGCATCATTTCACTTGTGGCATTCAATTTCATTGTACAAGATCCTAGTGGAATCATACTGTGGCACAAAGAAAGATCTTTCGATTGCAGCCTATGCATATACCTGAGCAGTTCATGCTCGGTATGGTACCTGATAAAGTCAAACAGAAGTCGGAGTGAGTTCCAAACAATAATCCCAAGTACAGATTTTGAGAACTAGTCCATACGTGTTAAAGATTGGATGAGTCATATATGGGCTCTCCCTTGTTAGACCAGATGGGATCACATTCTGAATCTCTGGTGCCAGAGATGCAGCTGTGAAAGGAACCTGACATTTGAAAGAAAGTAGTACTTAGTTTTATCGTCAAAATTATGATTTATGGTAACAAATTTTATTAGCAATATGCAGTAGTAGAGTGGTACTTACAGGCTTTCCACCAGAAAAAACTTTGAAAAGCTTATCAACATCCTCTAAGGTGGTTGTTTCATCAAAGGAAACAGTAATCTGAAAAGCAAACCATATTCTAAGAATCTCATGACATAGAATATTAGTCAAATTACACAACAGATGGGATTACACTTACGGTGTTTGCATCTACAACTCTCAAATTTATCTCGCTTTTGTAAGCAGCATCAGCAATTGCATGTGCATCAACACACTTAACTTTCACAGTGTCAAAGAAGGGAAGGCCCAGGATTTCAACTGTCCCAAGTTTCTTCAGTCCAACTGTGAATGCTCCAGCAAGACCATGGACCCTTTGAGCGATGGCTTTAAGGCCTTCAGGTCCATGATAGACGGCATACATAGCAGCCATGTTTGCAAGCAGTGCCTAAACAGAACAAGAGATTCCGTTCAACCAAAGCACAACCAACTTACTAAAGATGATATGGGCCAGCTTTGATGGTTTAATAAAATACTAGTTACTATGTTCCTCCCAGTAATTTTGAGCTAGGCATACTCCGTCTCATAACTTAGTCGAGAAGCAGTGCAGCTTAATGAGTTTTCATTACTCCATAAAAGCATTTCTCAATATATATATATATAAAGAACAATATAAACAGAAATCTCTTACTTGAGCAGTACAGATGTTGCTGGTAGCCTTGTCCCTGCGAATATGCTGCTCCCTAGTTTGCATCGCCATACGCAGCGCAGGCTTTCCTGAAGAATCGACACTAACACCAATAATTCTACCAGGCATCAACCTCTTGTACTCTTGTGAGGTAGCCAAAAATGCTGCATGAGGACCCCCATACCCCAGAGGAACACCAAACCTCTGAGCCGAACCAACAACAATATCTGCATTCAATTCACCAGGAGGCTTCAACATCGTCAACGCCAACAAATCCGATGCCATAACAACCTTAACTCCATGAGCATGAGCATTCTTTATAAACTCCCCATAATCCAAAACCTCGCCCTCAGTTCCTGGATACTGAATTAAGACCCCACAAACATCCCCAGATTTATAATCAATATCCTTGAGATCTGCAGTAACTACCTTAAGATCAAAACCATCAGCTCTAGTCTCGCAAATATCAATAGTTTGAGGGTGGCAATTATTAGCAATTATAAAAGTCTTTTTCTTTCCCTTTTGAATATTATTACACATAGCCATTGCCTCTGCAGCAGCAGTCCCTTCATCAAGCAATGAAGCATTTGACATAGGCATTCCAGTAAGATCAGTAATCACGGTTTGGTAATTGAGCAAAGACTCCAATCTACCCTGAGATATCTCAGCTTGGTACGGTGTATATTGTGTATACCAGGCTGGATTCTCCATTATATTCCTCAAAATCACAGGTGGAACATGAGTGTTATAATACCCCATCCCAATATAAGACTTGTAAACCTTATTCTTCGATGCCAAATATTTCATATGTTCATTCATTTGGCTCTCTGTTAACCCACCATCAAACTTTGAGAACCTCATAGAATCAAGTCTAATCGATTTAGGCACAGTTGCATCTATCAATGAATCAAGAGTACCAAAGCCACATAATTCAGCCATTTTGGTTTGTTCTTCCGGGGTGGCTGAGTTATGGCGGCGAGGGAAAGTGTCACTTGGTTTCAAAGATTCAACAGAAATGGATCTTGTTTGTGACCCAATGCCATAATGACCAGCAGAAACAGCAGCAGCATTATGGGATACAATATTTTTGCCTCCTGGCAATAGACCTGATCTAGGACTTCTAGAACCAAATGATGACAATGAGGAAACATACCTTGAAGGAGTGTATAATACAGGAGGTGAAGAGCTTAACAAAGCTGATTCATTTCTGGCATGTTTGTGGCTTTGATTTGATTCATTAACCAGCCTTTTCAAGATTGCACGGTTAGCTAGCCTCCTTGCACGTTCCATGAGTGTAACACACACAGAGAAGAAGAGAGAGACACAGAAAGTTTGAGTCTTTTTTGTTAAAGCTGTGAATGGAACCGAGAGGGAGGCAAAAGAGGAAGTGGGGGGTTGTTGAGAAAGGAAGGAAAAGAAGTTTAAAGGGAAGTGATGACTATTTTTGCTCCATGGAATATGTGGGGGAGTGGGTTGGTGATAATATAGTGAAATTTTGTCTCCATATAAATTTTAATACTAATATTTGTAGGTAAGTTGTGTGCTTGATGTATAAGAAATTCAATTCTCAAAAAGAAAAAGAAAGAAAAAGAAATTCTGAGGCTCCAAGATCTGGTGGTGCGGTGGTGGGTGGTGAATGACTAGGCACCTTGAGGAAAGGGACAGTTTTGAGGATATCAGTCTGCAGAGCAGAAATTTTACAGATCTCAGAAAAAATGAATGGAAGTTATTGAACCAAAAGGGATTGAGTATCAACGGATCAAAATGCATTCCAATTTCATTCCAGACAAAAATAGAAGATTTTTATTTTATTTGATATTTTTTACAAACGCAAAAGTTTCCATAAGATCTGAGGTTCTTTGTTGGCACAACCACTTTCACACTCTACTTATCATCATCTCTCACCTCATATGCACAGATACGATGCACAGTCTAGGGCTAGGGTTTGTGGAGCAAATGAAATACCACTCTCGCTAATTTTGTAACATGCCATGAAACTTTAACCCAATAAAAATAGCCTGTGACTAAGAGGAGCTCTATCTCTTGATTTAACTGGATTGAAAAGGTAAACTTAGAGCATTTTTTGTGCATAAATTGGGCCAGTTTTTACGTATTTAGAAACTAATCTGATTTTTTTTTTAAAAAAAAAACAAATCACTAAGTTAACTCTTATGAAACATATGAGTTCTTAACTGTACATTGTCTAGTAATATAACATAATGTAACAGTCAAGATATAACATAAAATTAAAGGGATTAATTTATAATTTACTCTGAGATGTGAATGTGGCTGTTAATGTCCAATAAAAAAAGAAAAGAAAAATCTGATCACTACGATGTAATAAAAAAAAAGGAAGGCTGGGTATATCAACAAATCACTTAAATTTATAAACACATATTTGATAAAGTAGAGTACTGAATTTAATAAAAAAAATATCATATTAATTGATTTGAGAATTTTTATTAATATGAAAAAATGAATCTGTGTGGCATTAATTTCTATGAAATTATGCATGGTTTGTTTTTAGGGATAATAATGTTTGTTTGTTTTTTTCTCTCTTTTTATATTCGACATTGATGGTATTGTCACACTAATTTCTTTTTCAAACGATTTTAAAAATATATTTTCAAAAACACATTTTTACATATACTTCATGTATTCCGATGAATTTAAACAAATTTCCATACGTGCTAACTTTAAAATTTGAATCTAATAAGTCAAGTAAGGCAATAAATCTTCATATCTATCATGCCAGCTCTCCAAATTAGGATAGTAATGTCCCTAAATTGAGTATAGTATAGATTCTTGGGTTTTTAGAAACCATCACCACCTGATCCTAGAATTTGAAGTTCCATGTATATTTTCTATTATCATGCAGTGTTTTCTGATTCGCTAGTTTGGGTGGGACCCAGGAGTTCGGTGGGGGTATCATTGGAAAAAGGCAGAGATCATCCTTGAAAATAGTTTTGTGGCTGACATTTATACAGAAGTTTGGTGATTGAAAGAAAGATAACGTAGGAGATGCTAAAAATTTAGCAGAGTATCTGTGTATGTATTTATGGTTAGAAAGTGGAATGTAGATCCCAGGTCAGGTCTGGGACTTCATCCTTTTTAAGTGCCTAATCTATTGGGAAACCTGAAAAGCAGTACTATCTAATTACTCTTCATGTACCAAAATATGTGTGTCTTCGTGTACGAATGGAACGCTAGAAATACTTATTTTTTTAAAAAAAACAATTGATTTATTAAATGATGTGAGAGCGCATGATTAATGATTTTATTAGTTAATATATTTTATAATTAATGGACCTAAATTTTAAATTAAATGAATTTTCAATACGTATGTTATTTATTTCAGACAATACATGACATGGAATTTAATATCTCGCATTCATTGCATTTCGATTATAAAATGTTATTGATAATATTTTCGATTTATTTTAAATCCTAGGTCAGGTGTGTAACACTCTTAGTTTCCTTAATTCATAACATCATGATTTAATTCTAGCATATATATTTTAATTTATTTAGTTATTATCTCATGAAGGAGAACTATCTTTATTGTATAGTCCAAGATCCACAAATCTCTCAATAAACTAAATATAAAAAATATATAGCAAGACCATTGATTGATATTGGCCTAGATACTTAAAAAAAAAAACATATAACAATGTTACTCTATCAACATTACTTAATATAGACTTGTGTATACAATTCTATTTTTTGAACAAAAAAATATTCTGAAAATTACTTTTAAAAAAAATCAAAAGATAATTTTTCAAGGAGAGAACTAAATTTAAGTTTTTTTTTTTTTTTTTAAACAGAGACAAAACAATAAGTAGGCGTCGGTAGTCCAAAACAACAGCCAAATTAACAATGGGCTGATGCGATTTTCTTCCAAGAAAATTCCTCACCACCCCACCCACAGATTTGCCTATATAGTGAGGTAACTTTTGGAACATTTTCTTTTGACCATTGATTTTTTCTTTTTTGCATTTATTATAAGATTTGTAATTACATTAACAATGCATCTATTTTATTTTATTTAATATTATTATTATTAGTAGTAGTATTTTGATTATTTTGTAAGGGAGTTGGTGGAAGGGGTTTGTAATTTAAGGCACAGGAGATGTCACCAATAGAAGTCAGGTCCTACCAAAACATAGAGATAAAGAAATGAAAGGTAAGAATTTGATTGGGAAGGGAGTTGAGTAGATCTCACCTACCACAAACAACTCTCACAGCCACACCAATGTCCAAGAATAAAATAGGAAAGCTGTTCTGTTTTTATGCAGAATGCTTGCTAGCTCTCATTAATTAATTACTTTTCTTTGGCAATCTCACCCTACCCTATAATATTATTATTATTCCCCCTACAAGTTTTTATTTTTATTTTTTTGGTTTTTTTCAAATATTCATATCCTACGATAAAAATAAAATTAATTATGTTCTGAACATAAACAATATAATTTAACTTTTCTCAATAAATACGATTTTAAAATTTAAATTTTGCATGTGAATAAAAAATTTACTTGGAGATCAGTTTGGAGATCACCCTATAGTATTTTTTTATTTTTTTATTTTTTTATTTTTTAACGGGAAGTTTCAGTTTAGTTATCTCATGAAAGTGATCTATCATTTTATACAAAATCCCTGAAAATGTCAAACTAACCATTCCAGCATACATTGAGCCAATGTCGTCGCGCTTGCAGCGTAGAATGACTTGTCAATTGATACTCAGTACTGAGAGAATATTTCCCTCCAGGCTTCAGCCCATCCCTTGTTTCAGATTGGCCCATCCCAAACTCACTTTCTATAACCTTTCGGTCTAGCAGTAACAAGACTATTAATTTAACTTGATCTCTGGCCCAATACAATGATGGGCTTATCTTCGTTTCTTATTCACGGGCCTAGAAAATACATTACTGATCCCTTGGCTATGAGTTTTCTCCTTTTCAAGATTGCAAAGATTTTTCCAGGTGGAGGAAGAGACCAGTCATTTCACCATCTCTCCGCTGTCAATTTTGCCAGAAGGCAAGTTTTCGACATCGGTCACTTGATTAGGTTGTCTGGTGGCACTTCGCATCACACAAAATTACCAAGAAGAATCTTGAGCCATTTTTGTGGTGCATGTACATTTGTGTTTATATATAGCTCTACTCGACAACTACAAAGCTCGTATACATTGTCCCCCTTTTTTTTTTTTTGGGTTAAATTTTTGTGACATTAAAAAATAATAATAATAAATAACATGTAGCTTGTATTTGTTACCCCCAAAAATTTAAATTACTTGGAGGTACGAAATACAAAATTTTGGTGTGATATTGGGTATTGTGTTATTAGAATACTCAGGAAAAAGAAGAAGAAGAAGGAGAAACTAATATCCATATGTTTAAGAAGATATATGCATCATACAATATATATAGCTGAAAAATATCTTAATTATACTATTAGTGTTTGCTAATTGATCTACTAACATTTGATGTTAGACATGGAAAGATATATAAATATATGCAAATTCAAATAAAGAGCAAAAATTGAATCAATATTGATATACGTGCCTGGAAGACCTCAGATATTATTATTAACTTCAATTATTTTAAGACAGACTGATAAGAAGCAAGCCCATACGTTGGTTTGCAGCATGCTAAAAAGGAGGAAAAAAAAAAAGATCTCTCTCACTGACGGAAATTAAACAACCTGACAAATTCCTAGAATTAAATCAAAGCTCAAAAGCAAATAAAAATGATTCAACTATGAATAAAGCCGCACGATAGTTCCATTAGTAGGATTGCAGCTTCTTCCACATCATGTGGAAGCACTCGTTGTATGGCTGGATTTTTGGTCAAACTTAATGCAAGATTCTTGAAACAAAGCTTCTTTTGGCTCTGTTGAAGAGGTGAACATTCAGGAGACTTGCTCAGTTTCTTGCTTTGCGAAACATGGCTCGTCCTCAATTTCTTTACTTTGTTGTTTACCTTGGTACTCTTCGTAGACGACGAGGCCTCAATGTCAATAACTGTGCCATTTGCAGCTGCTGCGGCCGCTGCCATAGCCCGCCTGGCCTTCCTTTGCCGAATCCCACAGGCATTGCAAAGTGACTGCATGAAAAAGATATTTGCATTTTTTAGCAAACAATATTTATACATACATCTAGCATTAAATTATTTGTGTACATGTGAATTGATATATATATATATATATCTATATAGATAAAAAATACTAACCTTAGGGCCACGAGGGCCACTCCTCCAAAGTGGAGTTGAGGTAGTGTTACAATCCGAGCAGACTCTAATATTGCTGTTACTGCTGCTGTTGCTGGAGGAGTTGATGTCGTTATTCTGATATTGCTGATTGGGGAACTTGAGCGTCAATTTCATTGGTTTATGATCAGTTCCGGAGCAATTTGAGTTGGTCATTTTTTGCATCAACCTCATCTTTGAGGGCATCCATTTGACTGAACTATCACCACTTCCTTCAGCTCCATCCTCCATTTTCGATGAGGATAAGTTGTGGAAATTGCTATTATCGTGATCATTTACCACAGCTTGGAACGAAGACGGTGGAAATAGTTTATGATCACTTGATCTGCCATGTGATATGCCATACTTGTCAACCTGATCAGATCAAGACCGAAGTATAGAAAGTTACTGAAGCAGGCCATACATGATCTATATATTAATTGACCAAAGAGAACAATCATTTATTTACGATCATGAATAGTTGTAGATTTCATATTAGACAATTATGAGTAATACTAATTCTCATGGAACTTAATTTTTGTTGAAAGATCAAATATTTAGTAGAGGGGATGAAATTAAAGAAAAACAAATGAATTTAAGATCAAAAGATTTTGTGAAATTAAATGCAAACAGTTATCACATGACACGAGCACTCATGTTAACTATGATCATGTAAATATTGCATTAATTAGAGAATGATGTACTCGAACCAAAGACTTCTCTACTTGATCAGAACTTGAGATGATCTCATGGAAAGATAATAGCAACACAAAAACATGAAAATTTTTGAAATCATATGTAAGTAAGAGATGTTGTCCTTGCCTCCTGATCATCATTCTGGCGCGACTCTCCAAGTTTGCTTTCTCTTTGATGATCATGAGTACTTGTGTTAAAGAAATCAGTAGGACCTGAGAGAGAAGTGGCAACTTGATGTGGTGACAGAAAGAGCTGCAGGTGTTGATCCTCTTTTAGATCCACAAAAGGGAAAGAAGAAGATGCTGGGTTCAGATAGACCGGAGTCATGGAGGGAGAAAGAGAGAATAGAGAGTGTGTTTTGCTGCACCCGCTGTCCAGTAAAGATGGACAATATGGGATAGGATAAAGAATAACAAACAAGGCTAAAAGGGCCTAATTAATAGTAGCAAGAGTCTTATAAAGGAAGGGGTAAAGGGCAAGAAGAGGCCTGAAAACCATTCACGTGACTTCATGTCACCCAAACAAACAAATTATATGAAGACAAATTAAAAGGAGGTGTAGAATGCTACTACTCGACCCAGTATGACAAACCCTATCTGCTGTATTCGCCCCAGTACCAGTTCAAAATTAACTCCATGAAGAAACATCAACTATACATAACTTGCCCATTTTTTTATTTTTTTACTGCATTTAAGGTTGATATACCCTACATATCACATGCCTTTATTTGTCCTTAGGGTCATTGAACAAAACTCATAAATGCATTTCCAACCTTTTGACATCAAGTTGCATTATTTCATAAGACCTAGGTTAATTGGTTCGATATTATCCTTAATTATCGGTTAAATAGAAATTGATACCCGAATTTTAATTTTTTCAATTTGAATATCAAAACTATTTTTTGATTTATAGTCGAGTCGAGTGATCTCGTTAACCAATATCTAAATACACTTTTCTCACATGATAGTAACATAGCCCAATAAATAAAAAACACGTGATCGTGTAATGCTCACGTGTACTTATGGTCTAGTAACTTAATGAAGTGAAATGACAAATTACCTTCACCCTTAAATTAAAATAAAATGGAGACCCGTCATTCATAGCCACCATCTTCTCAAATCCTCTTGCCACTACCACCGCCACCATCTCCTTTGACTAAACCTCGCTAAAACCCCTTAACCCATCAGCCTTATCAGCCATCTCAACCTCTCAAATAACACCGAGACCTACCAATTGTGGCCACCATCTTCTCCAGGCAAACAAAATCGAGACCCATCAGCCATTGTAGCCCTCTCGACCACCCCTCTGTTCCTATCAAACTCAACACCAGCTACAACCATCTCTCTACGTACTCCGATTAAATCGAACATCAACCACTACTCTCATGCAATTTTGAAAAAAACCCTAAATCAATTTTAATCAAACTAATCAATAGGCATAAAGAGAAAGAAACGAGTGAATTCTAAATCTTTATTGAGGGAGAAGAGGGTGCTTTCATCGTCTTCTTTCTCGAGTCTTCCCTTACAGTCAACAATACCCATCAACCCATAAAATGCTCAAACCATTTTATCTTCACTATGAAAATCCTATTTAAGCCAATATTTGTATCAATAAAAAAAATAACCTTAAATTCAAGATTTCAAGATCTCAAATTTTTTCATGTTATTGTCAATTCCAGAATGGCAACAATGAATAAAAATCAATAGATTGAATCAACAATGGTGAGAAAAAAGGAGAAGAAGAATTGAAGAAGTAGGCCTCTCCTCCATCGCCATTGCCAGTCGAGAAGTAAGAGAAAAGAGATTATTGTGGGAGTGTACTGGATGAGTTTGGGATGCTTATTATGAGGAGTTTGAGGAATATAACAAGTTTTATAAATCTGATTTTGCAAAATTTTAGCTCCTATTGATGTGATGATGATGAATTGTTTTCTCCAAGATTTGTGTTCATGCGTTACAGATTTAAGGTTATAATTTTCTTGATTGTAAAAAATTAAGAATTTAGAATTTTTTGTTATTTTATCTTCACATATCTATCACGTGTCTTTATATATTGATTAACAGGATTGTTTGACTCAATTACAAACTAAAATATAATTTTAATACTCAAATAGAAAAAACTGAAGTTCGAATACCAGTTTTTATTTGTCCGATAATTTAACTATCAAACCAATTAGTCTAAGATCTATATAGTTAATTATGCAATGACAACAAGTAAAAGCTAGATGAATATATATAAATGGTGTTACACGCTAACGTGGGAGCTAATCCGCGTTACTTGAGCATTAATGGTGAGAGTGAGACTTCAGACTAGCCAGGATATCCTAGGGCACGAGTACAAGAAGAAAGAAGAGATCAAATCATCAAATGTCTTGATCATCAATGACATGTTTAATTTATTCTCTTTAGGACGACAAATTAATTTTCTTATATCACCTTGTCACATATATAATTAAATAGGTCTAATTGCATATAAATCTAGCAGAGAAGATTAATTTGATCTTTCACATACGTCATCTAATTTTTCAATCTAACACTGTATAAAAAATTTGTGCAAATAATTAATGGATCAGATATATAGATCGCATGGAGAGAGGTAGTTTAGAGGTTTGTGCAGACATGAAGAAATGGGCGGGCATAGATTTGCATGGGAGCTAGCATCCCTTCTAAGCTTTGCCAAAAGGCATCAAATGCCTTACGGCTGTATGAGCAGGCCTATAGCTAGGGACAGTGACAGCCTCTCTAGTCCCCACACCAATTTCGATCAACTTGTTCTGTCCTGATCATTCAATTTTGTTTTACCACCATCAGTTAAAGGGAAAATTGCCCAGCTTTTCCTTTTTTCATATGATCTGTCATTTTGGTTCTTACCTCTTTGATTCATCAAAGACAGCTCAAATATCGAAATGGAAGGGTCTCTCTAAAACCACATATATGCGGACTAATATAGTCTCAGATATGTGAATTGGAGCTACCGAAATTAGCTAAAAGATAGAACGCGGAAAGCCGTTTTTGGATCTTTCCGTTTAAGCCTTAGGGTTTACTTCTCCTACATTCAGAGTTAGGCACCTAGCTAGCTCGCTCACATGAAGAAACATTGATTATATAATCTGGGGAAATAAAGCTATTTGGTTCCAACCTATGAATCTGACAAGATAAAAAGATCTTCTTTTCTGGTTCTTCCATATTCCCTAACCACATCAACTAATTAATTTCGATTAGAAGCAGTTTTAGGGAAGCTAGTGCATGGTTTCTTCGAAGATGTAGTCACTTGATCAATATGGAAGATTTTTCCAGCCATGCTGAGCGATACAGAGAGAGACCTCACATATATGCGCTACAAGCTCCACAATTGCTGCACAAACTTTCATGGAAACCTTGCAGAAGCTGCAACAATAGAATTATGCACTATTCATAAAAAAACAATAATAAGCAAAATGGTAAAGAATTTAAAAGGGGCATAAAATAAAGATAATTGCAAAGCATAACTGAAATATTTACTGATTAATATAATATGCTTGTTGCAAGCCATGGTTTTCTCTATTTATAAAGGAAAAATCACATTTGGTGGTTAAACCTAAAATATGTTAATTTTCTATTAATTAACTATTATCATCTAGCTAGATGGTAGTTCACAGATATATATATATATATATATATATATATATGGCCAATGGATGTATAGGAAACAATTGTTTGAAATATATACCAATCCTGATTAGAGTTAGGTAAAGGGAGTTTTTTTTTCCTAACTGTAAACCAAAAATAAACATAGAATTAGCTAAGTGTGATTGATAAAGCAAGCTTCATGTGGAAGGTTGGTCCAAATATGGTTAGACAGTGATAAGTTGATTGGCATCTAGCTAATTGAGAGAAAGGCAGCAAGCTAAGTCATGGTGAGGATAATCGATCGGTCTACCATATATTGATTAAGCCATCCAAAATAGATTACTCTATCCAACTGGAAACATTTCTTGGAAATGAATTCATAGAGAAGGAATGGGTTGTTCAGTTTGAGAGATAAACTAGCCAATTACATATGATGAAATAGAGTCAAAACATGACTATTTAATTATTTAGATATTTCGTTTTGCCTGTAAGCTACAATGATTCTCTTGTTATTAAACCCTAAAAAACAAAGTCACCAGAAGAAGATGTTGTATTATAATTTGAAAATAAAATTAATTTACGTTTTTTTTTTCCAATGAAGACATATTAATAGATATTCCTATTCTTTATCTATATATTATTTGCAAGTAAAAAAAAAAAAAAGATTAAATTAAAAATCTATAATTGTCTTGGTCAAGATGCTATTTTTTAAAACAAGTATTGAATTAGATCTTTGAATTTTGATTTCATCTAAAATAATTAAACTTTATAAATGGTGGTTCATTTTTAACTTTATATATTACTCGTTAATTATTTATTTATTAGATGTGATTTGCGCTTTTTTGCGATCTATCAAGTGATTTGGATTTTATAATTTTTACTTGAACCTTTAGCTTTTTAAACTAAGATTTTAACATTATATTGAATTAGATATTTGAGTTTGAGTTCTAACTAAAAAATTTAACATCATATTGAATTAGATATTTGAGTTTGAGTTCTAACTAAAAAATTTAAACTTTAGTGAAAGATCTATTTTCAACTTTATATATTAATCATCAATTTATTCAACAGATTACGTTCTCTAACTTTTTAGAGAGTAGTATAAAATTACTTTTAAAGCCTCATCCAATAATTTAAAATTTTGAATAAAGTTTAAAAAGTAATTTTATATTACTATGTAACATTAAGGTGGTTTTCCAATGAAAAGCAAATTTAATGATGGTGATAATAAAGTACCGACATTGATCAAATAATGTGTTAAGAAATATTTAAAAGATTCAAAATTCATTTTCTCTTCTTTAAATTTAGAAAATATTTAGAAACAAATTTAAATATAAATTCATTAAATTTAAATTTTATTTTTGAAAAATTAATTGCAAAATGCTTTTCTACTTTTAGAATGCCCATTTCTCTCTCAGTCCCACAAAGAGTTTTTTTTTCCCCCGTTCTAAAATGTATTTCTATTATCATAAAGTCATAGAATTGAGTACAAAATTTTACTATTTTACCTCTCTTTTTATTCAATTATATTTAATTTAATTTTAAATTAAAATATAATAAATATAATAAAAATA